GTTACCTTGTCCTCAGTGTGACGTACCTTGTCCTCAGCTTGAGGAACCTTGTCCTCAGTGTGAGGTACCTTGTCCTCAGCTTGAAGAACATTGTCCGCAGCATGAGGAACCTTGTCCTCTGTGTGAGGTACCTTGTCCTCAGGGTGAGGTACCTTGTCCTCAGTTTGAGGAAACTAGTGCTCAGTAAGAGGTACCTTGTCCTCAGCGTGAGGTACCTTCTCCTCAGCGTGAGGAGCCTTCTCCTCAGCGTGACATACCTTGTCCTCAGCGTGAGGTACCTTGTACTCAGCGTGAGGAGCCTTGTCCTTAGCGTGAGGAACCTTGTTCTCTGTGTGAGGTACCTTGTCCTCACCTTGAGGAACATTGTCCTCAGTGTGAGGTACCTAGTCCTCGACTTGAGGTACCTTTTCCTCAGTGTGAGGTACCTTGTACTGAGGACAAGGTACCTCACACTGAGGACAAGGTACCTTGCAGTGAGGACAAGGTACCTCACACTGAGGACAAGGTTCCTCACGCTGAGGACAAGGTTGCTCACGCTGAAGACAAGGTTCCTCACGCTGAGGACAAGGTTCCTCACGCTGAGGACAAGGTTCCTCACGCTGCGGACAAGGTACCTCACGTTGTGGACAAGGCACCTCACACTGAGGACAAGGTACCTCACACTGAGGACAAGGTACCTCACAGTGAGGACAAGGTACCTCACACTGAGGACAAGGTTCCTCACGCTGAGGACAAGGTTCCTCACGCTGAAGACAAGGTTCCTCACGCTGAGGACAAGTTTCCTCACGCTGAAGACAAGGTTCTTCACGCTTAGGACAAGCTTCCTCACGCTGCGGACAAGGTACCTCACGCTGAGGACAAGGTTCCTCACGTTGAGGACAAGATTCTTCACGCTGTGGAAAAGGTTCCTCACGCTGAGGACAAGGTTCCTCACGCTGAGGACAAGGTTACTCACCCTGAGGACAAGGTACCTCACACTGAGGACAAGGTACCTCACGCTGAGACAAGGTTCCTCACGCTGCGGAGAAAGTACCTCACGTTGTGGACAAGGTACCTCACACTGAGGTCAAGGTACCTCACACTGAGGACAAGGTACCTCACAGTGAGGACAAGGTACCTCACACTGAGGACAAGGTTCCTCACGCTGAGGACAAGTTTCCTCACGCTGAAGACAAGGTTCTTCACGCTGAGGACAAGGTTCCTCACGCTGAGGACAAAGTTCCTCACGCTGAGGACAAGGTTCCTCACGCTGCGGACAAGGTACCTCACGTTGTGGACAAGGTACCTCACACTGAGGACAAGGTACCTCACACTGAGGACAAGGTACCTCACAGTGAGGACAAGGTACCTCACACTGAGGACAAGGTTCCTCACGCTGAGGACAAGATTCCTCACGCTGAAGACAAGGTTCTTCACGCTGAGGACAAGTTTCCTCACGCTGAAGACAAGGTTCCTCACGCTGAGGACAAGGTTCCTCACGCTGAGGACAAGTTTCCTCACGCTGAGGAGAAGGTTCCTCACGCTAAGGACAATGTTCCTCACCTGTGGACAAGGTTCCTCACGCTGAGGACAAGGTACCTCACACTGAGGACAAGGTTCCTCACCCTGAGGACAAGATTCCTCACGCTGAGGACAAGCTTAGTCACCCTGAGGACAAGGTTCCTCATGGTGAGGACACGGTTCCTTATGCTGAGGAAAAGGATCCTCACGCTGAGGACAAGGTTCCTCACGCTGAGGACAAGGTCCCTCAAGCTGAGGACAAGGTTCCTCAAGCTAAGGACAAGGTATCTCACAGTGAGGACAAGGTACCTCACACTGAGGACAAGGTTCCTCACGCTGATGACAAGGTTCCTCACGCTGAGGACAAGGTTCCTCACGCTGAGGACAAGGTTCCTCACGCTGAGGACAAGGTCCCTCAAGCTGAGGACAAGGACAAATTCGCTGAGGACAAAGGACACGCTGAGGACAAGTTCGCTCTTAGGAAGAAAGCATAAGAATGTAAATATTAATGAACTGAAAGTAAATGATGATATTATTTCTGATGATAAATCTATTACTGAAACATTAAATGAATATTTTATAAATATTGGAATGAAGATGGCTGCTGAATCAGCATATCAAACACCGATGCTTCAAATGATCAAGTAATTTATGAAAGTACTGTGCTTCTTCCTAAAGAAAATTTTCACTTCGCAGATATTACTATAGATAGTGTTTCCAAACGCCTACAAAAACTAAAGGTCTCAAAAGCGACAGGTATGGATGGAATACCTGCGAATATTTTAAAACTGACATCAACCCTTATTGCTCCATCTATAACTTTTATATTTAACCTATCGATTAGAACTGATATTTATATAGATGAGTGGAAATTAGCTAGAGTTATACCAATTTACAAATCTGAGGATAAGCGTAAATGCGAAAATTATAGACCAATTTCAATTCTTCCCATAATAAGTAAAATATTTGAAGGGGAAGTTTTTACTCAAATATATAGCTTTTTGAATAAACATGCGCTTCTGTCTAAATTTCAATCCGGGTTTAGACCAAAACATGGAACCTTAGGTGCTCTTATACAAATGTGTGATCAGTGGCTACAAGACATGGATGAAGGCAAAATAAATGGAGTTGTTTTTCTTGATATATGTAAAGCATTTGAGTGATTTGACTCGGTGAATCGCGAGATATTATTGGAGAAGCTTAAAACCCAGTTTGGAATTCACGACATTGAATTAAAAAGGTTCCAATCATACTTAAGAGGCTGTCTCCGTAAAAACCTCGAGGTTAATATGGGGCTCAAAAATAGATTGCTCTCATACTCTAGTATTTTGAAGATCTATCCTTGGGAACAACTAAAATCGATGTCATTTTACTCAAATTTTCTTTAAATTATTTTTGGGGGTGATTGATGTTCGATCGACTGGTAACCAACTTCATACTCCGAATGAAGGCCAAATGTCGACATATTTTCGGCGCTATTTTTTAAATCAAATTCATACCTAAATTTCAAAATTTTTGCTCAGAAATATAGACTTATACTTCTATTCTCGTCGGTGATACAACTTAGATCATTATTCTTTGGTATAAAATAGAAAACAGCGCAGTTATTGACCCTCCCGAACGGATAAAGGATATCGTCTCAAAATATGTCAACTTCGAAAGCTTATTTCAAAATCGTGGCACTTGGTTGGCACATGACTTTAACTTTTCTATAAACTACTAACATTAGTCAACACAAATCGCCAATAATATCTTTCTGCTCTACCATTTGACAAAAATGACAAGCGCGCAAACTTTGTAAAATTTGAAAATGTGTCGAAATCGAGCATACTTTATTGGTAAACATAATTATTGATATTAACAGATAAAATCACCTTACACTACAGTACACTACACTGAATGAAGCTTCATTATGTAAATACATGTCTTTCATCATTATTCTTTGGTTTGGCGCTTGAATCAAATTGTTTGAGTACAGTTTGGCTTCACGGATAGAGTCATTCAATGCCGGCCAGTGTGTCCAGTGCCTTCTGCGCGCCTCAATGCCACGAGTCCTGATTGTGACATACTATACAATCTTCGCCCTGTTCGCTTTGTTTACCTCTTTAACAAATACATGTTTAACAAATAACAATACTCGATGAAACTGGAAAACTCAGAATTAGTCATACTACAGATAGAATGTTCATCGTTTTTAAACTGTTTTATAAAAGTTTCATTAGAATGTACGAATTAAATCTCGGGGAAAACCCCGGGCAATGATGTCAAATGTCAATATTTCGTTAGTTTCGCTCAGTATAGTTTTCTAGGAACTGAATTGTCTCTAGGTTTAGAAACAATTATCAATGAAACTAGAATTCAAGTAAGTCACGGCTCTGTATAAAAAAATCAACTTTTTCAGGCCGACCCTGGGTCACTTTGCTCAACGCTATGCTTCAAGAATTTACATTATTTCTTATTGTATAAAAATATGCGAATATTTTGATATAATACAAAACAATTCAGCGCAAACAGCTGTAACCCATTTGAACGTCTCAGTTATTTAATCAATGTTATTACTTTTTTCAGTAACAATTAGAAAGGTTCTGAAAATTAGAATTAATTTATATTCTTCTTTCCGACAAGCTTTAAAGGGTGAGAAATTTGCAAGTGATAACTAATGTCATTCTTACACGCCAGCAACTTCGAAGAACAGTCCACTGTGTCTCGGAATTTTCCACACTCAGAAGTAGAAAAGGAACATTTCTACATTATTTTTTACCGTCATTCTCATCTGTCAACATATATAAAATCTACTGTCTGTCGAAATCGTTTAAGGCCCTGTCACACTATTGCGTATCGTACTAGCGTATGCCAGCGTACGAAAAATATCACTCATACGCCGGTATACGCTGACATACGCTAGGGGTACGCTAGGCATAGGTTGTATACGTTTCAAGCACGGTCGCATACGGTGGCATACGGCGAGGCAGAAAATTTTTTTAAGCATGTTCAAAAATTTTGTGCGTATCGGACGTATATGCTTTATACGATAAGCATACTCTAGGCACACGCTCAATACGCTAGAGGTACGCCAGATGTACGGTACTCATACGCTGGCATTGCAAAGGATTTTTGTGCGTATGAAAATTATTTCATTTATTTTCATACGCTTCTCATACGTTTCTCTCATACGCATTAGTGTGACAGGGCCTTTAGGTTTACCTAATGGCCCTGTCACACTATTGCGTATCGTACTAGCGTATGCCAGCGTATGAAAAATATCACTCATACGCCGGTATACGCTGACATACGCTAGGGGTACGCTAGGCATAGGTTATATACGTTTCAAGCACGGTCGCATACGGTTGCATACGCTGGCATACGCCGAGGCAGAAATTTTTTTTTAAGCATGTTCAAAAATTTTGTGCGTATTGGACGTATGCTTTATAAGATAAGCATATTTTGGGCACACGCTGAATACGCTAGAGGTACGCCAGATGTACGGTACTCATACGCTGGCATTTCAAAGGATTTTTGTGCGTATGAAAATGATTTCATTAATTTTCATACGGTTCTCATACGTTTCTCTCATACACAACAGTGTGACAGGGCCTTAACGTTGCATGATCACAAATTGCGGCTGTAGTAGAAGTAGAACACCATTATTGTAAACACAAAAACCTCGTGCAATACTGTCTAAGACTACTATTTAATTCAATACAAAGAAAGGGAAATCAGAGAGCAACGAAACATTTCATCGTCTTTTGATTGACATGTTTACGCTCAGCGAGTACATTTCTTTCGGTTAGGAGTTTTCCCCGAGATTAATTCGTACATTCTATAAAACGAAACTTTATATAACAGATTAAGGTAAACAAACCAATGAAAGTTATGTCTGTAGTATGACTAATTCTGAATTTTCGAATTTCTTTGAGACATTTTATTTACAGGAGGTAAACAAAGCGAACAGAGCGAAGTTCGTATGTCACAATCAGGACTGATGCCGTCATGGCTTTGAGGCGCGCAGAATTCGAACACACAGGACACACTGGCATTGAATGACTATCCTTGAAGCCAAACTGTACAGTCAAACAATCTCATTCGAGTGCAAAACCAAAGAATAATGATGAAAGACATATATTTACATAATCAAGCTTCATTCAGTGTAGTGTAAGGTGGTTTTATTTGTTAATATCAACAATTAGGTTTACCGATAAAGTATGCTCGATTTCGACACATTTTCAAATTTTACAAAGTTTGCGCGCTTGTCATTTTTGTCAAATGGTAGATCAGAAAGATATTATTGGCGATTTGTGTTGACTAATGTTAATGGTTTATAGAAAAGTTAAAGTCGTGTGCCAATCAAGTGCCACGATTTTGAAATAAGCTTTCGAAGTTGATATATTTTGAGATGATATCCGTTATCTGTTCAGGAGGGTCAATAACTGCGCTGTTTTCTATTTTATACCAAAGAATAATTATCTAAGTCATATCACCAATGAAAATAGAAGGATAAGTCTATATTTCTGAGCAAAAATTTTGAAATTTAGGTATGAATTTGATTTAAAAAATAGCGCTGAAAATATGTCGATATTTTGCCTTCATTCGGAGTTCAAGTTGGTTACCAGCCGATCGAACATCAATCGCCCCCAAAAATAATTCAAAGGAAATTTGAGTAAAATGAAATCGATTTTAGTTGTTCCCAAGGATAGATCTTCAAAATACTAGAGTATGAGAGAAAACTATTTTTGAGCCCCATATTGACCTGGAGGTTTTTACGGAGACAGCCTCTTAAGACCTTGAATAGACTCCCTCGCCAACATAATCCTAAGGAGGAATTGATATTATTAATGAATGGTGATTATGGGAAGCACTACGTATTTTCATAAAGCAAACAATTCAAATTTTCGATTATATTTTAGTCATCCTCAGCAATGGATCAAATTAGACACATTGATAACAGTGCCTTGTATACCCTAGTTGCAGTTAGCTTTTTCTTAATGATGCTATGCCTATTGATAGAACACCGATAATTCTCACAATGCTTTCATTAAAATTAAAATGCCCGGTCTCTCATTTCAACAAATCTGGGATCTGACCAACTGGGCTAATTGTTTGTGCTTCCTTACATGAACAAAATGTAATTTTCTATGCTAATATTATTATGGCTAATTTCAACAGACAAAACAAATCAGGTTAAAATGACCAAGGTACATATTTAATTTGAAGCTACATGTAGGGATCGCCCCTAAGCGCCCTCACCCCACTCCTCCATTGGCAATGCTTGGATGTGAAAAGCCTATTCTTTATAGACCATGTACAAACTTCTTCACATTCATAATTCAATATTTAATATTAAGTTCAATGACTTCAATCAAGTGAGATGCCCAAGAAATATTGTTATAAATACTACACTATCAAAAAGCTGTCAAGCGAAGAAAAAATGTTGTCTTTGTAAGAAATAAATCAGTTGCAGAGAGGTCAACATCCTGTGGAATTGTTACTGTATTAACTCAACACAAAATTTTTCTCATGTATTTTTTACACGAGTTGTAAACCAGCAAAATAAAATTCCGTTACAATATACACCTGAGATAATGAGATTGTACTCTCTCTTCTGGGGAAATAAATAGCAATTGTGTAGTACATACCTTGCTTGATTTAAAGGCACAGTTCAGCCTGTTGAACGATGGTTTTTAAGGCGCATTTCAGCCCTTTTAATTGAAAAAACTAACTAGGAAAATCAATTAAGCATAATTCAAGATCACCAAACTTAATGTTTTTAACATTTTAAAACATTTATATTGTTAAAAACATCGAGTTTACTGATTTTGAATTATGCTTAATTGATTTTCCTAGTTAGTTTTTTTCAATTAAAAGGGCTCAAATGCGCCTTAAAAGCCATCGTTCAAAAGGCTGAACTGTGCCTTTAATCTTTAAGTATTCCTGCGTTGAGAAGTAATAAATATTCAAATATTCCGGCGATAAAGAAGCAAACGATTTGAATATTCGCAACTATGAAATATGGCGACAGGCAAGAGTCGCGGTGCGCAAAGCATGTTGGTACTATTTTTACCGAACTCGAAGCGAGCTGTTTCGATTATGTCCTTTTATGGACATCGTCGTGTTTCGTTTCATAAACCGTTGGTTATTGTTCGTTCTTTGGCGCACAATATCTATAAATTTTGAATTCGAATCGCATTCAACGGCGTATATGAATATCAGCGTTTATATAATAGCTATACTATGGTAAATCTTTGTGAGGACAGTGCTTGGATATGAATAATGAACATGAATATTAAATATTTAACAAAATTAAAGCTAAACAGTCGATTCTGTCGAAAGATCAAATCGAAGGAAGAGCGTTGAATTGCTGCCAAGGTCCAGATCATGGTCAAGATAGTGCGAATTTCAGGTTGGTAGATTTGTTTGAACGTTTGAAGCGGTCCCCAGAATATTGTTTACATTTTTAAAATACATATCCCTTCTTGTCTGTTTTAACTGTACAACATAGTAATGATCATCACTTCTAGTCTTCAATATTCAGTGGTCATATGAACGTGTTTTGACTGAGGCAATGGTTCACACTTCACATTGTTTACAGATACAATAAAAGTATATGGCCCCTGTACATAAGCCCCCATCAAAAAATCTTTACGAACGAATATAAGCCCAGGGCATATGTTCGAAGGTTCACGGTATTCCATTATATATCTGATTCTCTTGTGTTCTTTGATTGGCAGTAAAAACTGTAATCATTTTAATGGTGTCTGAACTCTTATAGTTTTTCCATTCTTTTAGATTGATGTAAACCAAATCAGGGGCGGATCTAGGGGTAGTCAGATTAGTCACGCGACTAACGTAAAAAAAGGCATATAAAAAAATTTGGACTATGGTTTTTGAATTTTTTCCCAGCGCAAACACTTCTCTTCATTTCTGATCACGCAATCAAAACTCTATCATACTCCAGCATATAAACTTCGATCAGTTTTTGCACATCGAGCCAGCGATTGATTAGTCAAACGATAAGTCAAATAAGCGGTATTCAAATGAAAATTGACTATTCTGCGTTTTAGTTCATATGATTTGATTGGTCAAATTTGCTCAGATTACACATTACAGGCATGTTGATTGGTCAGACCTATTTTGACTAACGATTGCGAAATTTTGACTATTTTGACTATTCTGCAAACAGATAGCAGCTTCTGATTGGACAATTTGCGCAAAAGAGTTAAAGAACATCTCCTCTGATTGGCCTTCTAATCTTCAATTTGGAAGCATTGTGCACTTGGTAGCTTTGTTGCAGTTCTGTACAATTTTACAAGGAAATTATTTCGTTTGTATAATTTTATTTACTATTATCGAAATGAACGACGTAGATTTCGAAAAAGTTAGATCGTTATTTGAAAGTGACAATAAGGAATGCTTACTGGTGTTCTGTGGAGAATATTTCAAGCAGATAAATTCGATGGATGCAAGAAAATTGTCTTGGCCGAAACTATCTAGCTGAGATGTGTTGATTTCTCGAATTCTCGTCGTCTATTTCAGGAGATTATAAAGAGGTGTATGGCAATAAGGTAAAGTGGTTTGAATTTTGAACAATAAATCGTTGAATTGAACGTACGATTTGCATAATTATGCGAGGTTAGGTCCAAAGTTTTATATACTGCATACATATTCATTATGTGTATAAAATTAAAACACCTCAGGTGGCAGAAATTTGATCTCAAATATTTGATCATGTTGGATAAAAAATATTTATTGTGTACATGCTTATAGAGTATTGATTGACTGATAATTGCTCTGGAAATGAACTTTATAAAGATGATAATAATAATATAATCTTTGGTTATATTTTTAGATCTGATGCAACTGGCAATTGCTTGTATAGCTCTGTTTCCTAAGCATTGACAGGTACCAATGACCTAATTTGACCTTGATAGTTTAAATGTTTACAGTGCAAGCGTGAAAGGTCTATTTCGGCACTTATAGGACACTAAAAGGCTATAAGCGAAGCACTATGGTTGAAGACTACTTAAATTAAATGACTTGGCTTGGTCATGATGCAAGTTCACCAGGAAATTATTCCTAACATATGTACTGTAGGAAACATTATTGATAAATTTTCTGGAACATGTGGTTAAAGTTAAATATCTCAGCTTGCAAAAAGACCACTCTCGCCTCCAACAGCAATTAATAACCTCACTCTTGTACACAACACTGACAGAAAAAACTTCCTGGGGTTTGGTTCTGTTGAATTAGTTGATATTACGTCATGCATTCTGATTCGAACGTTTGGTGTATCCATTTTAGTGCCTCGTGTAATTGTTCGTTGCAGTTCTGGTTCAAGTTGTATCTCGATATATTTTACTCATTAAATGTTCATATTTTATCACAAAAATGTGACTGTTCGAATAAATATTCAAATCCAATAGGTTATGGGCCCAGTGGCTGAAGTATTCGAAGTTTTTAATCGAGATATTGCGTTAAATTTAATCGTTAAATCGTATTTTGAAACTGGTATGGAAGCATGACAAAATAAATATGGCGGAATCGAAAACTGTTACGGTTGTACCGTTGAATGGGTCGAACTATGGGACTTGGAAAGTCCAGTGTCGCATGGCTCTCGTGAAAGACGGGCTGTGGAGCATTGTTTCTGGAACTGAAACTGCTCCTGCTTCGACAGAAGCTGAAAAATATGCGAAGTTTGTTAGTCGTAGAGATAAAGCACTGGCGATTATCGTGCTTTCGGTACATCCTTCGCTGTTATATTTGCTCGGAGATCCTGAAGACCCTGTAGCCGTATGGAAGAAATTATCAGACCAGTTTCAGAAGAAATCGTGGGCAAACAAACTGTCTTTAAGACGACGTTTAAATAATTTGAGGCTGAAAGAAGGGAATTCTATGTCAAGTCATATAAAAGCGATGACTGAGGTTTTCAATGACTTGGCTGTAATAGGTGCGCCAATGGAAGATGAAGACAAGGTTGTAACCTTGCTGGATAGGTCTCCCTGAAACCTATAATATGCTTGTAACTGCACTCGAAGCGAGTTCTGAAGTCCCACAAATGGAACTTGTAACTGAACGTTTGCTTTATGAAGAAACAAAGCTGAATGAGCGAGAAAAAAGTCCCCCAAAGCCTCGGGTAAAGTTATGGCGGCCTCGAGGACTGATAGGAAATCAATTAAATGTCATCACTGTGAAAAGTTTGGACATATAAGACGTTTTTGTAAAGATTTGAACAAAGACAAAATCGCAAAGGAGTCTAAATCACCTTTAAATAAGGGACAGCAAGCTGGAAAGGGGCAGTCAGGTTCTCGTAGTGAAAGTTTAGGATTTGTTGCACAAAGTTTGGCAGCAAATACATGTGGAACTAACAGTGAAACATGGATTGTTGACTCTGGTGCAACATGCCACATGTCTAACAACAAAGCTTTGCTTGAAGACTTTGTTGAATTCAATGAGCCTGTTGATGTAATGCTTGGTGATGGAAAAGTTCTGAATGCTGTTGGAAGTGGCATTGTTACAGTATGTACTAATCTTGTGAATGGAAAGCAACCAGAGTGTAAACTACATAATGTACTTTTTGTTCCGAAACTGAGCTATAATATACTAAGCGTATCGAAAGTGACTGAAGCTGGTAAATCTGTTAGTTTTGAAGAAACAAAATGCAATATTTCATGTAGTGACGGGAAAATTATTGCAATTGCAAAGAAAGTTGGATGTTTGTACTATTTGGATTTTCAACCTATCTTAGAATGTTCAAATGCTGTATCAAATGAAGGAACTGAACTCTCAAATGAAATGTTATGGCATCAACGTTATGGACACTTGGGAGTCCAAGGTTTAAAGCGATTAGCAAATGAAGATTTAGTTGAAGGTTTCAACTTTGATACAAAGAAAGATTTGGAGTTCTGTGATGCATGTGTACAAGGAAAGTTACACCGGTGTTCGTTTCCTAATAGTGGTGCAAAGAGAGCTAGTGAACCACTAGGCTTAGTGCATAGTGATGTGTGTGGAAAGATAAACACTAAGTCATGCGGTGGTGCTGAATACTTTCTAACATTCACAGATGACAAAACTCGCTATGCCTGGGTGTATCCATTGAAGCAAAAGAGCGAAGTGTTCAGTCGGTTCTTGGAGTGGAAAGCTGTTGCTGAGAAGTGAAGTGGACATAAGCTAAAAACTCTAAGAACTGATAATGGTGGTGAATTTACTTCAAATGAATTTGAGAACTATTTGAAATCAGAAGGAGTTAAGCACGAGTTAAGTGTCCCGAAAACCCCAGAGCAGAATGGCGTTGCTGAGCGACTAAACCGGACACTTATTGAAGCAGTTCGAGGTATGCTTATTCAATCTAAACTACTGCTGTTTATTTGCATAACCGAAGCCCAACAAAAGGAGTAGCCAACATGACTCCAATTGAAGCATGGACTGGAGTGAAACCTGATGTCAAACACTTAAGAAGTTTTGGATGCATTGTGTATGCACACATTCCAAAGGATGAGAGAAAGAAGCTTGATTCAAAGGCGAAGAAATGTGTTCCGCTAGGATATGGAACTGAAACCAAGGGATATCGTTTATATGATCCTCAGAATTCAAGAGTTATATATAGTCGGGATGTTAAATTCAATGAAAGTGAATTTGGCATTGAGAAGGAGTTGCCAGGGAATGAATTTCAGGCTGACAAACATGTAACTCTCGAACTGTCAAATGACAATGATGTAGTTGTTGAGGATGATCAAGCAGATAATGCAGAAATTAACGAGCGCCAACCAGTGCGAGAAAGGCGTGCACCTGACCGTTTTGGTGAATGGGTAACTATCGCAAGCAAAGATGTTGTTGAGCCAACAACAGTAAGTGAAGCATTGTGTGGTCCAAATGCAGAACGGTGGCATGAAGCCATGCAGCAAGAAATGGATTCGCTACAAGAGCATGATGTATGGGAACTCACAGAACTGCCGAAAGATCGGAAAGCAGTTGGGTGCAAATGGGTATTTAAAGTAAAACACAATGCTGATGGTTCAATTGAGAGACATAAAGCTAGACTTGTTGCTCAAGGTTTTTCGCAAAGATTTGGGGTGGATTACGATGAAACATTCTCCCCAGTAGTGCGTTTTGAATCGATACGGACTGTTATTGCGTTATCTGTTCAAAGAGGATTAAAGTTGCATCAGATGGATGTAACCGCTGCTTTTCTAAATGGAGAATTAGAAGATGAAGTGTATATGAAACAGCCTGAAGGTTTTGAAGTTAAAGGGAAGGAACATCTGGCTTGTAAGCTAAACAAGAGCCTGTATGGGTTAAAGCAATCTTCCAGATGTTGGAATTCTGTATTGGATGAGCATTTAAAATCGATCGGTTTTACTCAAACGGAAAGTGATCCCTGTATTTACGTGAAAGAAGAGGACGGTAATATTTTTGTTGTTGCTATTCACGTTGATGATATCATCCTTGCAGGTAAAACTGATGAGAAAATTGCCAAAGTCAAAGAAAGCATTGCAGAAAGATTCCAAGTAAAAGATATGGGTGAGCTCAAATATATTCTTGGTCTACAAGTGATTCAAGAGGATGCTAAGGTGTGGATTGGTCAACCTACCTACACGGCGAGCATCATAAAGAAGTATGGTATGGAAAATTGTAAGCCAGTTGAAACTCCTGTTGATTTAAGTTCAAAGCTTGTTAGTGCTATGGAAGACAGTGAACTGTTCAACAAAGAAGAGCATCAGTCAGCAGTTGGGAGTTTGTTGTATTTATCATCGGCAACACGACCTGACATAACATTTGCAGTTAACAATGTTGCTAAGTTCTCTGCAAATCCTACGAATGAACATTGGACTGCTGTAAAACGAATTTTCCGATACCTGAAAGGAACTGTGAACTATGGACTACTTTACTCAGAGAATGCTAATCCAGATTGTGTTGGATTTTCAGATGCGGACTGGGCAGGTGATTTAAATGACCGGAAATCGACTTCTGGTTATACATTTCAAATAAATGGTGCTGCTGTTAGCTGGCGAAGCAAAAAGCAAACTTGTGTAGCATTATCAACAGCTGCAGCTGAATACGTTGCTTTATCTGCAGCTGCTCAAGAGGCATTGTGGATGCGACAATTGTTGACAGATCTTAATGTAAACATTGATGAACCAATGACCATTTACGAGGACAATCAGTCAGCTATTGCTATGTCCAAGAACCCACAATTTCATGGACGATCTAAACACATAGACATCAAATATTATTTTGTACGAGATCAAGTAGAAAAGAAAACATTAACTGTTCTTTACTGTCCAACAGGTAGCATGTTAGCTGATTTATTCACAAAGGGTATTCCAAAGGAACAATTTAAGAAACTACGTGAACTAACAGGTGTTGCAATAAAACCTAAGTAGGTAGATAAACATTCGAACTGCGAATGAGAACTTAGCCTTTCAAGACCACTACATTCACAAATCCCAACATTCAGGCTTTGTAGACAAAAGCTGCTGCCAAATATCGGGTCTGATCTCATTGGCTTGAGACAGGTCCATTGCATCTTGAAGCAGTTAAATTTTTCAACAGACCAGGGTTTGAAATAACAACTGATCACCAATCAATAATAGGCAGGAAATTGCTTATGATTGGCGGAAAAGCAGGGTTTGCAACCTGAAAAAGCAGGGAAAGTCATGACTGCCGATCACCATGATCGGTAACTTTGGGAACATTATTTCAGGCCCTGACAGACAAACTCCATGTTGATAGTATGTGACTGTCTATATAATACTACGGTGGCCGATAAGGGCCACATCTGCTGCATGGAAACGCGACTGTGCTGCAAGGAAACGCGACTGTGCTGCATGGAAGCACGATTGTGCTGCAAGGAAACACGACTGTGCTGCATGGAAACACGACTGTGCTGCATGAAAACACGATTGTGCTGCATGGAAACACGATTGTGCTGCATGAGAACACGATTGTGCTGCATGAAAACACGATTGTGTTGCATGGAAACACGACTGTGCTGCATGGAAATGCGATTGTGCTGCATGGAAACACGACTGTGCTGCATGGAAACACGACTGTGCTGCAAGGAAATGCGATTGTGCTGCACAGAAATGGACCTGTGCTGCATGGAAATTGACGATCAACCTCGTACCAAGGGTCCCCGTGTTTAAAGGTTCTGGTGCACGAGTTGGGACCTTTAAACACGGGGACCCCTGGGTACGAAGTTGATTGACGATGTCAGTACAAACACAGGTGGCCCAATATCGCAAGCGTCAGTATAGTAATGTGTATTATAGTAAAATTATGTCATAAAATATAAATTTTAAAATGAAATTGACTTGCCTATTTGATAGTGTGTGTTCTCCTTTTATTTCTCTTTTGTTAGACTAATATTTTTCGAGACTTTGCACTCGATGGACGATGATACTAATATACATACTATATGATAAAGGCAAACTACTTACAATCATCGATCGATCTGCACGGCACTTCGAATCTAAAATTCTCCCACTCAAATCGCTTTATTCTCCAAAAAAATTCGCCAGCATGTAGAACAGATGCCGTTCTTCGAAAATACGCAAGATGTACAAGGCTTGGACCATTTTTTAGCAATGTAAATCAAAACCCATTTTATATTGAACTTACAAAGACCGACGATTACTAGACTTACTACCGCGCATGCATGGGTAACCAGGCCTCCTTTACCGCTGATCATTACAGGGGGAGGACGCCGTCTGCCCGCAGCATGCATATACCAAAAAGCAGGAAGTTCAATGGGAAACAACATATTGTCGGACTGTATATAGCATGTATATTATAATACGAAATGTATTTAAAACAATTTATGATGTCTATATGATATCATATTTTAATTATATTATCCTTTTATATAACGATCATATTTCGAATTAATGTAACCCCTCCCGTAAATACCAATGGTGAAGGAGGCCTGGTTGCCAAGGCATGCGCGGTAGTAATCGTTGGTCTTTGTAAGTTCAATATAAAATGGGTTTTGATTTCCATTGTAAAAATATGGTCCAAAAATTGTACACCTCGCCGAAGTATCTCCGTATTTTCAAAGAACAGCATCTGTTCTATATGCTGGCTTTTTTTAGAGAATAAAGCGATTTGAATAGGAGAATTTTAGATTCGAAGTGCCGTGCAGACGGATCGACGATTGTAAGTAGTTTGCCTTTATCATATAGTATGTATATTAGTATCATCGTCCATCGAGTGCAAAGTCTCGAAAAATATTAGTCTAACAAAAGAGAAATAAAAGGAGAACACACACTATCAAATAGGCAAGTCAATTTCATTTTAAAATTTATATTTTATGACATAATTTTACTATAATACACATTACTATACTGACGCTTGCGATATTGGGCCACTGTGTTTGTACTGACATCGTCAATCAACTTCGTACCCAGGGGTCCCCGTGTTTAAAGGTCCCAACTCGTGCACCAGAACCTTTAAACACGGGGACCCTTGGTACGAGGTTGATCGTCAATTTCCATGCAGCACAGGTGCATTTCTGTGCAGCATAATCGCATTTCCTTGCAGCACAGTCGTGTTTCCATGCAGCACAGTCGTGTTTCCATGCAGCACAATCGCATTTCCATGCAGCACAGTCGTGTTTCCATGCAGCACAATCGCATTTCCATGCAGCACAGTCGTGTTTCCATGCAGCACAATCGCATTTCCATGCAGCACAGTCGTGTTTCCATGCAGCACAGTCGTGTTTCCATGCAGCACAGTCGTGTTTCCATGCAGCACAGTCGCGTTTCCATGCAGCACAGTCGTGTTTCCATGCAGCACAATCGTGTTTTCATGCAGCACAGTCGTGTTTTCATGCAGCACAGTCGTGTTTTCATGCAGCACAGTCGTGTTTTCATGCAGCACAGTCGTGTTTCCATGCAGCACAGTCGCATTTCCTTGCAGCACAGTCGCGTTTCCTTGCAGCACAATCCTGCTTCCATGCAGCACAGTCGCGTTTCCTTGCAGCACAGTCGCGTTTCTATGCAGCAGATGTGGCCCTTATCGGCCACCGTATAATACAGTATGTATAAGCATAGTATAGGAATAATACAATACTGTGTTAAAAACCTTGCCAATTTAATATTTCAGATAACTAGATAAGTAGAGTAATAGTCATTTGTAATGAAATATTTTGTATTTGAATCGACTGTGATTAAAATATGTTTAAAATGCCAGGTAAAATAAACTTGTTTTCAATAAAAGTTGGCTTCCACTGAAGCTGCAGCTGTGAGGCACCATTTCACTTGCTATATTTTCCATTTTCATAGTGGACAGATATATAACAAGATGATGAATTTAATTAGATTAGATTAGACATAGCTAGGTTAGTAATAGGACTGGGGAAGGGGCTAAAGGGAAAAACAAGGCAATTTCACATCCATGAAATGTCGCGTATTGTCACCCATTTTTAACCAAGCTCCTTTTGCTGCGGTGAAAGGTGTGAGGTGGGTTTATGGCACCTTAAAACCAGATTGCTCATTTTAGGTGGTGTTCATTGTTCATTTTATTGTCACCCATTTCTCAGTTCTAGCCAAACTCCTTTTGCTCTTGCAAAAGGTGTGAAGGCAAGCAATCTGGTTTTAAGGAGCCAGAAACCTGTGCCGCTGTGTTCAGCCTTTTCAAGGAGGTGTCCTTGTTGGATCACGGTTTACTATTTTTGGTAAACGTGTTTCCTATAGGCATGCTGATGAGCCAAGGTATAGGGCGAAACAGTCTATATATTAATATATCATATGCTGAACATTGGCAGGTACGAAAATTATGTCATTTACGCATTTGTAGTTTGATAAAACAAAATATCTATGCTTCCACAAAAATTGGACTATCATCCTGACATCAAATGACGTCATGTGAAATGACGTCATCACGTTTTGCGTCATCGATGACGTCATAAAATTTTGACTAACGTGCGAAAAATCCTAGATCCGCCCCTGAACCAAATGATATATCACTTTTGCATCATGCTGTAGTACATCAACACAAAAGAACCGGGTTTAACCATAGAGGGTTCAGACCACCTGATAAAGGAGATTGACAGTAGCACAGCTATACAAGAAGGTATATAATCAGTACCATGTAATGTTTTTTGAAGATAAACTCTTTTGATGTATTACATCGCTGCTGTGGGATTGGTTTATCTGCAGTGGTCTGCATGTTACTGGGTCCAAATGCATTGTCGTGGGTAAATTGCCTAAAGCAATATAGTTATAGGGCAGAAGAAACTCTTAAAACTGAATTTAGTTGTTACTACTGTATACCGTACTGTCTAATGAAGTGATTTTAGTCAATATAGATATATACATATGTTGTTGTTGTATATGTATAATTAATATAGCTAGCTATACTGTACACAGGGCTGCCTAGAGAATTTGTGGTGCCCGAGGCAAACCTTCCCTGGGGTAGCCTCCTCCGCAGCCCTCTCTATGGGTTCTAGCCTGCGAATGGGTTTAAAAAAAAAATTTTCTGGGAGAGAGGCCTGCCATAAATCGAACAAAATGGACGTGTCAATGTACCTTGTGGCCGTGTCAATGTACCCCACCCCCTAAGTAGGCTTTTAACCCTTATTATATATTCAGTTTGAAATCTTCGGGCGAGGAGCGAAGCTTGCGATTTTAAAAACATTAAAAAGTTTAAAAATGTTTTATAATGCGTCGAAATATTCAAGCTATACGAAAATTAGTTGGTCAATTGAAAGGATTATATGTCGCAATGTCTCTCGCGGTCTAAAAACGACGTGCAAATTCTGAATCGCTCGCTCGAAGCAGCCAAGACTGCCAAGTGTTTACAAATTATGTCTACAAATATGTATTGAATGTACTTTATGGATTCAGAGTTCCGCTCAATTGTTCAGCCGAAGAACTACAATTTGAGGAAATTATCTGGCATAATTTCGAACACAAAACGAAGAATGGAACGATACGAAAGGTATAATTTGTTTAATAAAGGGATTATATTAAATTGTATTGTTTTCTGGAATAATATTTTGACATGTCTAAGGCCAGTATTAAAAGGGGTTATAATTTTGATTCTATTTCATTAATTTTAGTCAAATCATCAGGCATTTGCCAACATGCTCAGTGAATTGATATATAGAAGGAAAAGATCCTTCTGTTGAAGCAACCATTTCAATAAGTGAGGAGAGAAATATCAAATACAGAAATTTGATTACTACGAACATGAGAACATCAAGAGTTTATTGGCATCTTAATAAATTATAAGCTTGGTTTACATATGCCTGCGGTATGCCTGCACTATCATTGTTTACAGCTGTTGATGCATACATTCTTTTGTGAGTTATTTAGTTTATACATTCTTTTGTGAATTACTTCTAACGACAATAGCCTGCCAACGTACCGCAGGTATATGTGAA